AAAATTCTAGGGCTGAGGCCCCCCTAACTTTAAGGTCTAGTTACGCCTATGCTTGTGCCACACATACTTTGGAAACCGACATTCATGTACCTCGGAGTCACACTAGATGAAAGACTGATCTAATAGCCATACATCAACAAAATATCAACTAGTATACCACCGCCTATCGATGCTATTTCTAGTAATGAATCAAAAAAATCAGTCATTCATAAAAAATGTTCAATCGTAATACCTATTACCTATACAAGCAGTTACTAATTCTATAAATTACTTACCCATGTCCAATCTGAGGAAAATGTTCAGATATATAATATACATTAAATTTTTTTTAGTTTTTAAATGATTTCAAACTATTCATACTAATTTCCAGCTAAATAATCGGTATAAAATCAGATAAATAATAAAATATACAATATACATTAAATATATATAATAAAAGAGCCGATCGAATTTTATATCTAAATGTAGACGATGTAGGTAGTATATATAAAGTTCAAATGTTATCTAATTTTTTTTAAACGCACTAAAATTAAACTTCATATCGTATATATAATTTATTATATATAAATATATGTATTATGTATATTACGTAAACATTCAGTTTACTGCTTTTTTTTTCATATAATTCTGTGGGAAAAAATAAAATTATTGTATGATTAGTTTAGTTTTAATTTTAAAATCTTCAAGGTGTACCTTGTCTTAAAATTGTTTTTATTTTTATTTATTTTTAATTAATTAACCTGGTTAAATGGATAGTGTGTGCCCCCCCCCCTAAAAAATCCTGGATACGCCACTGCTGCATAGTATATTTTATTAAAATTACTGTCTTTCAAAAAGCTGATAAAATACTTACGACTTTTATTTGAAAAATCGAAATTTAGGTATAAGTTATTTGTAGCCACATTATTAATACCAACTAGTTAACAACTAAAATATTTTTTTCGTACAAAATTGAATTGTTGGTTTTATCTTGAGTATTAATTAGCATTATGAAAATTATAAATATTTGAAAATGCTCATAATTAATTTAAAAATTAAAATATCGTAAAAAACCAACGAGAAGACACAGATAATGTTCTTACCTAAAAGTTTCATAATAGGTCAATTCACTCTAATATCAAAACTAAAAGCACACTATTGAAACTGGTGGACGAAAATTTATTATGTCATACGTGTGTAAGACGGAGACAACACATGCGGGTGCGACGTCCTCTTAAAGCGTGGGAAAAGGAAGCACAACTTTATTTTATACATAGTTTAACGTTTAACATTATAATTAATAAATTAATAAATTTCAAATTGATCGTAATTTAATATGTTATAACTTATATTTATTACTTATAGTACATGTATTATAGTTCAAATAGCTCGATTACAATTTAAAAAAATTAAAATGCTATTTTACTATTGAAATAATATCGTATTAAATATATTAAATAACTACTGTAGTAAATTTAATTTTAAATAAATATTCGTTAATTTGTTTAAAGTACGGTTTTGATGCGTTTCATGTTTAAGTAGCGTCGCTAAACAGTATTAATATATTTATTATGTTTTCACATATTGTATATGTACACAAAAAATCTATACAAATGTATTTACAAGTAATTTTGGTGACAAAAAATTTAAATTAACAGAACGAAAGATATGTAAACACTAAACAGCCAATAGTTTATTTGGTCGCAGGTCAATTGGCCAATAAATATGTCAATGTTTAAGTAATATGTATATAGTTTTATCATTTTTAATATTTTTTCATATAATAGGATGTAATCGTGTTTTTCCGGTATTATTGTATTAAATTAATTTAATTTAAAACCTTAAGAACTCAATGTAACAATCTTATAATTCTATATTTCAAACACCAATCTATAGTTATATATATTATATATTAATAATATATAATGCAAATATCAAAGAACAAAACGAGTTTCAATAAAAATGATTTTGACTTGATTTCCTGTTCAATAAAATCGTATCAAAGTATGTTTGTATAGGCCGTATATTGTTTAAAGTATACCTATGTGATATTATGTATGTATATGAAAATCTTTAAGTCAAAGCAACAAAATGTAAACAATCTCAATTCTCAATACACGTTTAATATACATTTTAATGGAAAAAAAAATAACAATTAGGTAAACATCATTAAATCGTAACTGATAACCAATATAGGTAATGATACCTATTCTAGACGACATTCACGCGCGTATTATTGGCAATGTTGGTTCACTGTTTTCGTAGAGGTGGTAGCGGCGGCCTCGGTGGGTAAAATATTGACATGTTTTCCGTACCGTGTGCGCGCTGCTGCCCACAGCCAGTACTCAGTGGCGTGGCGCTCGTTCGAGTGTTAGTGTATTTTTTTGTGGTCGTCCGTTTTGCATAGTTCAAGTTTTCGTAATTTTTATTGATCGTTATTGTCGTGTTTTTCCCCCCTATTTTCATTAATCGCAATTGTAACTGCTATTGTGTCCTTTAGTTTTTTTTTGTTCTTCCAATCGAAATTTGTTTAGGTACATTGAAAAATGTCGAAAAACCTATACCTTCCGTATCATGCGACATCTGAAAAGGCTCATATCAAGTCTATGGAGCAGTATCGGAAAATGCACAATAAATCGTTGGAATCGACCGCGCAATTTTGGTCGGAAATTGCGGCACAATTTCACTGGGAAACGCCGTACGACATCAACAACTTTTACTCATATAACTTCAACGTTAATCACGGGCCCGTGCAAGTTAAATGGATGGAAGGCGCTACGACAAACGTGTGCTACAACTTACTGGACAAGAACGTGCGTAACGGGATGGGTGACAAAGTAGCTTTTTACTGGTAAGTTCGGCACCTAATAATAAATTAATTTTTATTTTTTTTTATTTGATTGATAAACTATTTAAAAAACCAAATGTTTTTACATCTTTATAAATAAACATAAAGAAAGATCTTCATTAGTTGTCGGGTTAGTCTTCTAAGAAAATGTCTTATGGTATAGGCGTGGTGTTAGCTTAGGTTTAAATCGAGGTTTAAATGTTTTGTAACGGACAGTTCCTTCTACTTTATTTAGGTTATTGTGGACATTTTCGTGTTAATTAGTCATCCATATTAATACGTAAGCGATCCCGTGTCATTGTGCAGTTGTTTATTTTTGTATAAACCAAAGAGCTTTATCTAAGAATTTGGAAATTTTTTATTTTTATTGAACAAGCGGCAGTCAATACTAGGCGCGCATAAGTTAGTAGCTATTTTATTATTGCTGTATATAATAATTGAGAACATTTGAACTGCAGGGTTATGCTGTGGTGTAGGTAATGAGGAATATTAATTTGATTTGTATTTTTTGTAGATATTTTCCCATTTACAAGGGTTGTTACATGACTGTTACATTACTTTACAAATAATATTTACAAACCTGATCTATAAAAATAATTATAAACAAAATAGAATTGCAAGAATTAATCTATTAATATTATATCACGTATACTGTATAATTGATGTATGGACGTAGTATGCGGATAATGAATGTCCTGATCCTGGATAACAATATTCTCTACATAAATATTACATACATTGATAAATCAATTGATATAATGCGATTGACATTCAATGTTCATAAATATTAATAAGAGAATGAACAAAATAATTACATACTTACTAAGTAGATTAATTTAAATAATGCACTTTACTTTTCTTGGCTTATACACGTGTCAGTAATAAAATAAACCTAAACTATTGTAATATCTATCCGGAGTTATAACTCCCTGTTATAGGTCAATAGTATTGAGAGGTCTTACATTTGATTCAGGTATTCAGTTTGGTACCTAAGTGTTTATTAATAGTATACATATTTTTTACAATTTTACATGCCTATATCATAAAATATTTTTCTAATAATTATATTAAATAAACGGTATCTATTAACTGCAACTAAAATTATCAGTTTGGGTATACATACTTTATCATAAAATATTAACATAATATTATGATTTTAAGTTTAATGATTTAATAATTAATTTAAAATCTAGATAACAAAAGTACAATTTATTGATTTTTATTATTGTGAAATCCATTAAACTAATATATAGTCATATTATAATGTGCTAAGTGACAGTTAGATATTATAATAACTCATTTTAACACAAGTATTTATACATATGTGAATATAAAGTACATTGAATTTAAAATCTATAGTTAAATATTTGATAATTAGGTATAAAGTAAAAATAAATTGGTATTTATGTAACCATACCTATTTAAAATCGAAATATTAGCTATATATAAATATATATAGCTATATTAAATTAGTTTTTAATTATTCTTGATTTTGTTACTAATATAAAATCGAAAGTAGACCTTTACCAAATACTTTACTTTAAATAATAGAAATTACAAAATCTCAGTACCCAATCATATTATAATAGTACTAGTATATTATACAATTTACAATTTTAAGATATCACTGAAACACAAGTACTCATAGCTTTGTCACGTTTATGTACACTGTACATACATGGCATCAATTTATTTTTGTAAATAAAAACTTTATTATTATTATTGCTTTAGATTTTATTACCTATCTACGTTATTTTTTTATTTAAAAATTTGATAATAAATATTTCATAAACTTTGTTTATGTTTAAATTATTATTAACTGAAATATTACTTAAGTTTAAAATTAATTGAAACTTAAAATTTATGCTTAAATTGATGATAATATTATCTACTCGTAGATTTATAAATTGAAGATTAATGAGTAAATTGTATTACAGTTTCGTATTTTTGTATTATTTTACAATAAATTATAAGTTTTTATACTTAATTACTTGTATAGTTATATACTTAATATTCATTGTCACTTTTTACTCATAATTAAATAAATAGTACTAAATTCGTTTAAATCTAAAAAGAAAATAACAAACCTATACTTAAATTTACGTTTATTATAATTTATAATTAACTTTTACTTATTATTGTATTATAATAATATCCCAAATGAGCGCTTATTTCGATTTTATTAATATAATTTAAATATTAAAAAACCTGTCAAGTAGGTAATTATTTCTATAAAATTAACATTGAATGAACCTCGTTATTGAGTAGATCTCCAATGATTGACAATATGGTCAATATTGTAATGTCTCCTCTTCACCGAGCAGTGGCGGTACTTTCGTTCGCCATACCGATGATGGATTTATGTTTTTATTAACGAGATCTCGGAGACTCGACCTTGGTGTATAATATTAATGTATTAGAGATCAGAGTTACCTTATCCAAGTAAAGCACAATGTTATAAATGAAAAGTATATTAAATTTAACAGATAATTTGTAATTAATATATATAGAATATGGGTTACCGATCCGGGTAGATTTTGACAAGCCGTGAGTGTGGATTTGAGGGTGGCCGCACGGATCGTTGAGGAGTCTTCTTCACTGTCTTTCTGCTCCGTGTCGCACACTCCTCTTTCTATACGTATTGGTAATAGTTATATACCTTAGACTGCTGCCAAAGGCCTTAGGTCAGCAGTCAGCCCCGCTTGCCATTCTTCACACTCAGCATTTTAGCAACGTATGCACTACCTAAGGAATAATGTACGATGTCGATAGACGGCAATCGTTACAATATTAAATCTAAATTCAATAATAAATCAATGTACGTACACGATGAAAAAACTATTCTGTGTAAAGACAATTTAACTTTTTGATAATCAAATAATTATTTTAATAATATTTTTATAATTTTATTTTAACAAATTTTCGTAACTTTTTTTTGTAATTTCCGATTATATTTAAAAGTACTGTGGTTTTTTTGACTTCCAAAGTATAAACTAAATCCAATTTCCTACCAGAAACCACTCATAAAGTTGAAAATCTAAGAATTTTTTTCTTCTGTAAAAAGTATTTTTAGACATAAAATAAAAAAAAAACACATTATTGTTAAATTAATACATTTATAACTAAATCATTTAATTCTTAACCTAATATCAAATTTATCTCGATATTATATAATTAATCATGTTTATAGAAGTATTTAACTTACTCGACTGACTAACTGCATACTATTGTAGAAAAATATTTTTATGATTTCTTAACCATATTTTAATTATACAGATTAATGAAAGTATTGATTTAAAAAGATGTGCTACTCTCTTGTGTTTACTCTATCATACAAGTTCATCAGAATCTATTTTGTTAGTTTAATTAATATTAAAGTAAATTGACTCATCAAATTTAAAGGTGAGACTCTAATCTATGTTATCTAGTCAGCTATTTTGATATTTTAATTTTAAAATGAGCTTATATTAAACCTAGGTCTCTTGTATAATAATAATTTACCACTATATTTTTTTGTAAAATATTAAAATTTAAAAGTGTTTATCAATTAGCACTTCTTTTATTATTTTAAATATATATAAAAAAAAAATAGAAAAAACACAAACAATAATCTTAGCTTTAAATTGTATATTATTTAATATGTCAATTATGCACTGAAGTAAATATTAATAAGTAATATTAACTCAAAATGGATTCCACAAAAAGATAACTTCAAAATTATACGTTTTTAAGACTGAGAAGTCAACACATATTATGAGCATTGAGCGCATGATTTATAAAAATAAGAATTCCGATTTCTGTCATTTCTAGTCATTCAATTACTAAGGTTTTTTTTATTTAACCCTTAAGTACACATATAATTAATTTTTGTATTTCACATATAATTAGTATCAATAATTTTGATATAATGAGTCTGCGTATTATATATATTCTATTTTATTGAAACATTCTTAAACGTTTATTAATCATTGGTTAGTTATTTTTTAGTATACTATAATGGTACCCAATATAAGAATATGTTTTTAACTTAAATTATCGAATTTATTTCGTTTTACAAAATATGGAAAAACTTAACTACCAAGTACTATAAAGTATTCACAAATCTCAGGTATAAATTATTTTTAATTTACACTATTTAATATCAATAAATGTTAATATAATTTGTATAAAAGATGAATTGCTTTTCATTTCTTTGATGTTAGGTAACATTAAAAGTCAGTACCATAATGCATAAGTTCACTAGTATATAAGTATTATATCTTTTTTATTATGCTATAATATCGATTAGAAATTATATAACTAATGATTTATTATATGTATGATACATAACGAATGTGCAATAAACTATTAAAATTTAAAATAGCTATAAAGTAGTATAGTCAATTCTGTATACTTTATATGACCATCTTGAGTACAAAAAACAGGAAATTTGTTCTGTTATCTTATAGATACGTACTAGGTAGTACCTATATACTTATATGTTTCTAGTATACTTCATCGGTCATTGTAACGGATCTATTAAATTTAATCAAATGATTCAAAGAACAACATATAGCTTAAAGCAAAAATTAGAAGAACATCCAGAGCGTAACCTGATCAAATTTTGCGTGTTGAATTAGCAGATATATCTAGAGAAATTTTAGTTAATTACCAAAATGGATAAGCTTAAAAAAGTAAAAAATTAAATTAAAATTAGCTTAAATCATTTTAAAATTATAGGTATAAAAAACCATTTTTTTTTTTTTAATTAATTATAATAAAACAAAAACAAAAACCGCTAAAGGAAAAAAATTATTGTTTTACATTTGAATATTCAATTTTGTCAAAATACGATCTACAAATGTTTTTTTAAAAATGTAAACTAAATTTTCAATATTTTTAACCTTTTTATGAATAACATAAAAACTAAACTATACGAATCATTATATTTCAACAATTTTAACCAAGAATCCACTATTTTATCAATTTAAATGGAAAAACTTTTTATATTCTAGTACCTACTAGATTAGTGTCTCTAATAGATGGCTTCTCATCATACCAACAATTTTTAAAAATATTATGTATTTATTATTATAACTTGTTTAACAACAAGTAGACATTATTTATGTATACTTTCTCTATCATATATTTTTATTTAATGCATCTTAGGTATAAATTATATTTGCGAAATGAAAATAATAAATTTTAATTATATTAAAATATTACTAACACTTCAAGTCCAATTTTGTGGATTGAGAAACGAAAGTAAACAAACTTTGAGTCTGCCTGACTGTAGAAATTATTAAAATTATCATAAACTTATTATAAATATAAGTAGGTCCTACTTATTAATATAATTTCATAATTGTATATTATAAAAAAAGTCCCAGTCTACAATGTTTTTTGTTACTTTCATTAATTTAATTAATTTTCAATTTACACCTTCGCTTAACATAATATAATAAATTTGATCTTAACAATTTCTACCAGCTTCAAGTCGTATATTAGTTATATAATGATGTACTATTTTATATAATTTGAATTCTTATCCAATCGTCCAGAATTTTAAAACGTAATAATAATATAATTATTTATTATAAATAAAAATATTATGCTACTGACTAATTATATTATTTTTCTAATTAACATCTGTTTACAATTACTAACCTTAATAATAGGTTATAAATAAAGACAATATTGAACATAAGTAAGTTTCATTAAATTTATTTTCACTATTTTATTTATACTTCATAAAATATCATAGAGTGTAATAATCGTAACACTTATTATTGTCTTAATTACCCATGCATTATTCATATTATGTAATATATTTTTAATCATAAATATGTATATTGTAAAAAATAAGAATACTTAATTAGGATTCGATCAAATCTTTATTTATTTGCAAATTTTTAAATATTTTTTCTCTATTAGAGCATTTTTTATTTATATTTTATAGGTAATGAAAATATTTACAAAATTTTATAAAAAAATTACAATTTTTTCTTCATTGTCGGGTATTTTTGTTTAAATCATTTAAAAATTGTAGATAATACCTATAATTAATCATAGATAAGGCGATATGATTTACATTTAAGACATGAATTGTTTTCATCTCGTACATTTAATTGTTTCATTTGATGAACATATACTATTTTACGTTCGAAAAGTGAAGGTTATAAGGTCAACGTTTTTGTAAAATGTACCTAGCACTCAAATTTAAAAAACAGAATTTTTGATTTTCTTCCATAATTTAAAATTTATTTGTATTTATAATAAATTATTTAATATAAGTAACTGTGTAAATAATAATTAATAATTATTAACTATTTTCTGGTATTTGTATTAATTTTGTTGATGTAGAATTTATTTTTATTCCAGTTAAGAAAATATTGAAAAGTAAAACAACATATTTTACATGTTTAAATTAATTTAAATAATATTAATCATATTATTAATAATTAATTACCTAATTATTTTTGTTTCTTAGTTAAAATGTAAAATTGTATCTATTTTTATAACGACAAATTGTCTATGTAGTTGATCATATGTTCGATCAAATTACTTATAGATTACTGGTAGTTGAACATGTTTGATATCAATGACCTCTACCTACTATTTATTAATCACGATATATTTCTATGTTATATTGCTTATAAATTTAAAATAAAATATTTTAAGAAATCCATCATCGTATTACAAAACAATTAGATTATACAATTATTAAGTATCTATATCAAACATTATGCCGACTAAAATTATACTATTTATTAAACTGCATAGGTATCTACTATCTAATAATCAACAATAACATGCATTAATTACGATGTATTAAATTATAATAATAATTTATTGACTACTTGTAATTTTTAATTTAATTAAAATTTTTTGAAATGAAATCTAAATAAATTTATATACGTATCTACAACAGTATAACAACTATAATTTAATATTATAATAATTTGTTTTAAAATAATTTGTATAAAAAAAAATTTTTATGAAAAAACGTTATGAAGAATTGAATTTTATACAGCTATTTGTTTTGTCAAAAATCAAATTATACATGCAGGGTGATGTTACATTTCTAATTAACGACCGCAGATCGCTAAAAGCATAATTAAAACTTTGTAAATAATATGCAGTACTAAAGAAAAATACTCTTTTTTTATAAGATAGTAGGCAGAGTTAAGCATAAATAAATCAAAATTGTGAATAATAAATAAAAATTATATTGAATAGTTAAACTCGTAAATAATTTGATTATTCCAAATAAATAAATAAATTAAATTGTGAAAATATTCAATTTTTGCGCAATAAAATTATGATAACAATATAATATTTATAACAAAGCAAATAATAACAATAAGAATAATTTATATAATAATAATAAATAATAAATTTTAATTTTTAGTTTTCATACTGCAATTGATAATTTTAATTTGATTTTAATACTATTTTATACTTAAATAAATCATTTGACAATTTGTTTTGGGTAAATTTGTCATTGTAAAAAAGAAAAGTTTCTCTACCGGAGCTTAAAATACGACAGGAATATTAGGTATATTGAAGAAATATTTTTTCACAGTAGAATATGAATTTAAACATTCAAAACGTTGACATGGATTCTCAAAATACTTTAATATCTTGAACATACATTCAAAACCATAATTGGATATATTTTTAATCAAGATATTACAAAATTTAATTTCATTTTATACATACTTCTGAAATCTCAGCAGACGTAGATGACATGTATCTGTTCTGTCATTTTCTGTTACCGACGTTACCGTACTAAAGTTAAAAAAATCAAAGTGATCTTCTTCAATTTCGACATTTTCTTTACTAGTTTTAGTTATATAAGATGCGGTTGTTACTGCTTTTTAAATATTGATGAAAGTTTATCACTAGAAGATGACGTATGAACACAATTTAACCATTTATTTTTAAACTTGGATTGACCTTTGCAATTATCTATTAAAAATAAAAATATTCAAATATATTATATTATTATCTATCTTAGAGCCATTGTACATGAGCGATATTTTATCATAAAATTATGCAAGTTTATATTATATCATTTTTACTAGGTGGAAAAGATTTTATCTAGATTAATTAAAAAAAAAAAAAATTACAAAACTCGAGAAATTTTTCGAGACTTTAATTAACTCAAAAAGAATCAACATACTTTGAAAATGTTACTATATATGAGAAATGCTATAGTAAAAATATTTAATGAAATTTCAAGTGTCTATGGTGACTACTTTTTGAGTCACACCAATAAAATAAAATCGAATTTTTCAAAAATTGGTTATGCGTAAAAAATTACCACTTTTTATGTTTTAATACTATTGAAGTATTCAATTTTAATCAACTAGATTCACTTTTCTATTAGAAAAGATTCTGTCAAAAACTAGAGCATTTATACTACCCCAAATGTTAATAACATGAGAAAAAAAATGCATATCATTGTACAATCAATTCATTCATCGTCATATTAAAGTTAAAAATATTTATTTATTCTATTTTAAATTTATTTTTACTAATAATTCATACGATTAAGTATCGCTTATTTGCAAAGACCTTATAATTATTAAAACTATTATTTATATAATATTCGATTTACCTTAGTCATGTCCAAATTATACTTATAATATTTAGGTATTATGTAATATTTTTATGATTCTATGGTATGTATGAATATCTTTAAAACGGCGACATGCTAGACTAATTGATTTCCGCTCTAAAAATTCTTTATCAATCCAGTAAACAGTTAAACCCATAAAACATCTTTTATTTTCAGACCATACATCAGCTGTTGTGTATAAATAATTTACTTTTTCTTATGTATACTTTTTAATTTTTCAATTTTTGTATGAATACGAGTTTCGATTTTTCTACTAAGACTTCGGCGGCTCATTAAAGTTAAACTATTATATTTAAGAATTTTAGATGCAATAAACATTATTTTTTTTTTTTTTTAATGGATTTTCTACTGTAGTGAGAAGTGCCATTGCATAAATAATATAATTAGTTACATTTTCATTAAATTAATGTTGAGAATATTTTGTTTTATTTTTACAGTTCATATTATTGGAATGTTCAATTTTGCCTTTTTTTCGTGCTTTGTTACCTAATATAACTTTCGTATTCATCTAAAACAGAACTATCGTGCTTCCTCTCTTTAAATGCGATTTAAAATTAGATGGTTAAAATTCAGATCCCTTAATGTTTACATTTTTTGGCTGACATTCAACACAACTTGCTATCACATTTTTAGTGTCAGAAGAAATTAAAAAAGTTTCATCAAGTATAGTAGCGTCAGTGGCCATTTTGATTGACTTTGATGAAATGTAGTTTATCTTGGAAAATAGTTTGACTCTGCTTTACCAATAATTGCACACTTTGAAATGAACTTGACCCATATTCATCACTATGGATTACATTAGTGCCACTGCCACTCATAAATCATAATACTTGAATCATCTATAGCTGTATGATTAATTGTATGCACTTTTAGAAATTATCAGACTTCATTTAAAATTATTTACAAAAATGTTACTAAAGCAACAAAATCCAATATACAAGTAAAGAACATGTTGATATTGAGTGCTAAACCGATTAGATTAGCCCCTCATCAATAGATATAACATAATTTATGACATTTTCGATAGCACATAATATAACAATGAACACGAAACACATCTATTTAAATGTTCAATAAGTTGGAATTTCAAATTATCCATGAATATTTTGAGATAAATACGATTATGTGGAATAATGAATAACGAATTATCGTAAAAATTTAAATGATTTATAAAAATAAACTATGATAACCAAATTAAAAATATATTAATAAAGAATAATTTTTTATTCGACTAATACTCAACTTTGTAGGCAGATATCTATACATTTAAAATATATACATTCAAGTAAAAATAAAAATTAGCTAATTTATCTTGGTCTCTGTAACAATTTTGGTTATAATATATTATAGATCAAACATTTTGTGTGCCATGTATAGTACCTACGCATATATTTATTATTGATTGAAGATTTTTTTACAGTCGAAAATTTTTTTCTATTTCACCTTATTACCATTACATACGTTAGTAATTATAAATATCTTTGTTATTTCCAAGAAGGCCAATTAACCATCAAAAAATATAATTTCATAATAGATGTTTATAAAATATGAAATAAATTAAATGCAAAAATACCCATTAAGTATAGTCAATAAATATATGTAATAGATGTACCTAAATTATTCACAGCGTTGTAATCGTTCGTTTTATTGAATAAGTATTAATATATAGGTACCTATGTTCTAATAGTAGTATATGATGAATTCATATTAAAATAAAAATATTTAATACAATGATTAATTTTAATAATATGTTGATCATATTAGTTTTTAGATTTAATAAAATTAACTGATTTTAGCATAGTCGTAATTTAATAATTATAGAAATATATAGTAAAGTATAAGGGAAACTCGTCTTGCAACCGAATTGATTATTTATTATGTTACATAAAAACTGTACATCGCTATTATATAGTCATTTTATTTTCCTAACCCGTCATTAGCCCATGTATATTAGAAATAATATATTAATGCACCCTATAAAATTATGTTCTGTATCAATTGAACTGGCGTAAGCCCAACATCAAAATCACATGTAGAACTTATTAAATATTGCCACTAACTATTATTATTTTGTAGAGTTATCACGAACTTAAATCTTCATAATACAATTTAATATGTATTATAGTGAAAAAATTTAACACGTTTTCAAAAATGCATTTTAATTTCCAACATAAAAATGCATTATAAATATTTAATATTTACAATAGAAACATAATATATAATCACGTATCTATCTAGATATTGCTATTAATAATTGTATATTTTTCATATTTTCATGAATTACTTGGTTGATATTTAAGAATAAAATTATAACTTATGCAATTTGTTTAGATAATTATTATTAATTAATTAATTAATTAATATTATTTTAATATCATTAATTCATAAAATTTGTTTTGTTTATTTAGGGAAGGCAATGATCCGGAAGACTATAGCAAAATCACATACAAAAAGCTTTTAGAGGAAGTATGCCGGTTTTCAAACGTATTAAAATCCAAAGGTGTAGTTAAAGGTGACCGTGTCGCAATTTATATGCCAATGGTTTTTGAGATCGTAATTGCCATGTTATCATGTGCAAGAATCGGAGCAGTTCATTCTATTGTTGTAAGTTAAAGGAATTTTTTAGACTATGATTGACCGACTGGGGTATTAGTATAGTAGACATAATAGGATAATATACAATATGTATACAGACTAATAATTTATCTTTATAGATAAGTTGACAATTTGGCCTGTCATTTGGATAATTTGTAGGTAGATAAATTAAAATATAATAGAAGATAATGACATACAATACAAGCAAGTTTCAAAATCAATCGATAAACTTTAGGTTGGATTACGATAAGTAGGAATGTTAGATTCTGTCCTAAATAGAATAGGTTAGTACCTAGGTAGTATATGTATATAGTCGTATACTGTTTAGAGCGTTTAGATTATAATAGATATTATGCATAGCCATATTCATGCATCTACCAGTCAGGACTGTTCTGTAGATACTTACCTACAACTTAGGTACCTACATCGTTTACCAAGTATACCAATGTGTAATGAATCAATTCGATACCTAATTGATTAATCGTTGGTAAGTCACTCGTTATTCACATTCAAACACTTTCACAAATTACTTGGTAATAGGTATAATTGAATGGATTCCATGTTAAAACATTCTAATCAAAATTACCACGTGGATAGTCCATATTCAATGGATATTATGGTATTTGATATGATTATATTTAGTAAGATGTACCCAGTAGATACCAATTTATAAATAACTATAATACTAGTTTTAATTTCATATTATTTTGTACTAATTTAATTAGTTTTCATAGTTTATTAACTAGGTATAGTAAATAATAATTACTCTATAAAGCTCATAAACTTATATTTTTGCAATTAGTTTGCAGGATTTTCATCTGATTCGCTAGCAGAACGTATGGCCGACTGTAAGTGCAAGGTCCTTGTGACTGCTGATAGTGTATACAGAGGAGACAAATTGTTAAACATTAAAAGCCTTTGCGATATTGGTAATAAATTAAAATACGTGTACTTAAATCAATTAAACTAAATTATAAATAAATATATTTTTTCACATTTTAGCAATGGACAAAGCCAAAAATTTTGGCCACGAAGTTTCGACATGTATTGTAGTTCGTCACTTACCACGTCTTCACAGATCCATGAACACAAAAAATGGTACAAATGGATCGAACTCCGACATAATAGATCTACACTCTGATGTACCTATACGCAATAATAATTATTTTATTAAATAATAATCTGACGTTCTTGGTCATATGCGCAATTTAAAGTATTGTAGGGGTTATATTCTTACTATCTAATGGTTCTAAGGTTTAAAAAAAAAACAATCAATTTAGGGATTTCATATTTATTTTTCATGTTATTTAATAGTAACATTTGTTTGACTTTCTAGAGCCCCACGCGAACTTGGCTTACTCTACCAAAGTCAGATTTTGGCGGTTCTGACCGAAAATTTGAACATTGTTCAGATTTTTGGGCTTAATATAAAAAATGATATTCTGATCAGATCAAAATCGGGTTACCAATAAAATAATCTGGATCAGATATAAAATTATTTTGGATCGGGTTGGTCATAAGAGGTTTAATTTAGTATATTAGGTTAATTTTTGGATTTTCTGGCCGGCTAAATTTTCGATAAATATTGAGTCGGATTTAGGTATTTATACATTTTTTGTGGTCGATTAGGAGTAGTTTTCAAATTCTCGTATCGAATTTGATTGAGTCAGACTAAATCAGAATTTTTGTTAGATTAGATAAAATCTATATAGCAGGAAACTAGTAACTTCGTCCTACACTTTAAATTCTGCATCATTACGATTATCGACAAACTACACAGAAAATAGGTACCTAATATGAATCTTTTTTTTTTTTTTAGGTACCTTGGACTGATGGACGAGATTATTGGTGGCATGATGAAATGGATGATGTAGAAGCCTCTTGTTATCCAGTTTGGGTATCTGCAGAAGATCCACTATTTATGTTATACACAAGGTTAGTAGGTACATTATATAAATAATTAATTTCAAATTTTTTAAAAATAATTTTGAGAAAAATTAAGCTTATGTTTTTATTAATGAGCAGAATAATTAAAAAACTGTTAATGATTATACTTTCTGAAATAAAAGGCCTTGAACTATTTCAATGTTAATAATCTGTTTTAATTAATTTTCCATTAGGTACTTACCTATTTTTATTAAACATTAAATATATAATAAAACTGTTAAGTATTTTATAACCGAATTAAACACAACATTGCACTTGTAAATAATTAAATAATTTAGTAATTTTTTCCAAATTTTAAATATACTAATATTATTATTAGTGGTTCAACGGGAAAACCAAAAGGAGTGCTTCATACAACTGGTGGTTACTTATTATACGCTGCTACTACATTCAAGTATGTTTTTGATTATCATCCAGGGGATATTTATTGGTGCACTGCAGATATTGGTTGGATCACTGGGCACTCTTATGTTGTTTATGGGCCCTTAGCAAATGGGGCAACTTCAGTTATAGTGAGCTTTTTTCATTATAAACATTAGAATTAAATTATTCAATATTATTTTGAAAGTTGAATTTAAAAATAAAAAATTAATTTGAAAACATAAAACAAATAAAATATAATTGAATAACCTATTAAATGTTTATATACTCTAGTTCGAAGGAACACCATTTTATCCAGATAATGGAAGATATTGGTCAGTTATTGAAAAATATAAAGTTACACAGTTTTACACTGCACCGACAGCTATTCGTGCACTAATGAAATTTGGAGAAGAACCAGTAAAGAAGTACAGAATTAATTTAATAACTTTATTGCTTTAAATATTTATTTTATTTTATTTTATTTTTAGACATAATCTTGATTCACTAAAAGTATTAGGTTCAGTAGGTGAACCAATAAACCCGGAAGCTTGGTTGTGGTATTACCAAAATATTGGTAAAGAAAGATGTTCCATAGCAGATACATTTTGGCAAACTGAAACTGGAGGGCATGTTATAACTCCACTCCCAGGTTGTACACCAATGAAACCAGGATCAGCAGTAAGTGTTTTATTGTACAACTAATCAGATCATTCTAAATAACTACCAAGTAACTTATTGGTATTTAAAGTCATTTCCATTCTTTGGTGTTGAACCAATCCTATTGGATGAAAGTGGTAAAGAAATTAAAGGAGTTGGCGAAGGATACTTAGTGTTTAATAAGCCTTGGCCTGGTATGATGCGCACATTATTTGGAAATCATGAACGGTATCAATCAGTTTACTTCAGCAAATTTCCAGGGTACTATTGTACAGGAGATGGTAAATTCAAATTTATATTTTAACTTCAAAGCTTATATTTTATAAGAGAATAATTGACATTTAATGATAGGAGCGAGAAGGGATGAAGATGGATATTTTTGGGTGACTGGTAGAGTAGATGATATGTTAAATGTATCTGGGCACTTGATGAGCACTGCTGAAGTAGAATCTGTACTCACTGAACACCCAGATGTTTCCGAAGCTGCAGTTGTATCCAGGCCACATCCAGTCAAAGGAGAGTGTCTCTATTGTTTCGTTACACCTAACCATGGTGTGGCTTTTACACCAAAACTTTCATCTGAGTTAGTTAAAAAAGGTAAATTTAAAGTATAGACTTTAATGATTTAAAAACATAATTAAAACCACCCAGTTTATATTTATTAATTAACTATACAAATACAATAATTATAATTTAGTGAGGGAATCAATTGGACCTTTTGCTATGCCGGATGTTATTCAACATGCACCAGGTCTTCCAAAGACCCGGTCTGGAAAAATAATGAGAAGAGTTTTACGAAAAGTAGCAGTCAACGATAGAGAAGTAGGGGACATATCAACGCTAGCTGACGAACATATAGTTGAAGAACTATTCAAAAACAGGCCAGAGAAAGCATAAAAAGTTACCAAAAAAATTGTTTTATAATATTGCTTGGTGCAAACATGACCTACATATCAAATTGTGAATTTTTGTTTAAGTCCTAAGTAGTATATAATCAAATAAATTATCTTAAACAATTAATTTAGAGAGACATATAGATGCTCATTGTTTATTATAATGAATATCAAGTACTTATTCTAATAAAGTGATGTTCACTACCATAAATAATTGAGCTCATCTTTATTATAAGTGAATAATATTCAATACTCGTTAATTGACAGTTGCTTATAAAGTTAAAAATTTGATAACCAGTGTTGTCAGTTGTTAAGTTTATTATTATGTTAAAGCTAAAGTTATATGAAATTTATTATGATGATAAAAATCTGCTTTCTTAATTTTTCAATAAGAGCAATTATATCAACATAATATGAATATACCTAAATGATTTCAGTTGTAGTATTTTAAGTGTTACTGTTATAATATAATTATTGCATGGACGATTAAAATGTAAGAATCGTTACCTAATTTATATTAACTATATTTATTAAGTACTAAATCCTCTACAACAATAGTTTTTACAATATATAACCGATAATAAATAAATAATAAAATATTAACTGTTTAAAGAATGTCAAATTTATACATATTATACATTATACAAATTACTCAGTAAGCTAATTACATCATATCATATTATGTATAAATATTTTCATTGAGAAATCAAAATGCAACAAATTATATCAAACTAAAGCACAAAAAACCATTTATTTTTATTCTGTGACACTATTTGTATTGTTAATTAAAACATGCTTACAGGAATAAATATCATAAAATTAAAATTTAAGAGTATCACATATACTTGCGCAACACATACATATCATTTTAAAAGTTACTTTATAACAGTATAAATTGTTAATTATATTTAATCTTTATTGTATTGTAATTTGTAACTATTATTGTTTGAATAAATAAAGAAAAAATTATCAATATAAAAATTGGTACAAAATCTTAGATTATTCATGAATTGAATATTGTGTTATTATTTCTTTCTTTTAAATACTATTATTATTAGTTTTGATTAAATCTCCATAATACAATGTTTTTGAGTTCAATCTATTGTCCAAGTAATTACTTTCTATTTCAGCCAAATTTCCTAGACCAGCTAAAGAAATACACTAAATAACAAAATAGTTTTGATTAATACACTCGTTAGGTAATACAAATATTGATTTAATATTATAATTATTATATAATGCAAACATTATCAGAAACAAATTGATACAAAAAAAAAAAAAAAATTGGTCTTATATAAAGTGTATTTACCTAACTTAAATAAAAAATTATCAACACATATTAATGAATTATTTATCAATGTAATAAATAAATGATTAATAGAGTTTCAAAATGTATTACTTGAACAGATTATAATATTCAAGTATTTCAAGAATTAAACCCAGGGACTGAATCAAAGCCAAAAATAAGTGTTAATATCCTTAACATATTAGGAACCCAGAATTAAATTTAAATATTTTCAAATAGTCAAAACCAAAATCTAATTATGATATATATCTTATATTGTTTCGTAGTCATTATTTACTAACTTTATTTTTACCTCCATGATCATTTGTCATGCGTAAGATTTTTAATAATTTAATATTAATTTTGTTTAATGAATTCTATGTTCTTAAATCTTAAAATTTAAATTACTTCAGTGATTTTGTTAATTTGAATTTTGCGAGATGCCTCCACTGTTTATTTAATATTTATATTTTATTTTGATAACATGTATAATGCAAATTATTATTTTATGTATGTCTAAATCTATTAATTAAACAGACACTAAAATATACATTTTAAAAGAAAAATGATTAAAGCCTTTAAATAGGATATATATTTTTTAACCAAAACCCTAATCAAAGGGGATTTAAATTTTTCAAAAACCTGGAATAAAACTTTTTTATAAGATAATTTAGTACCAGAACCAAAACAAATTATAAAAGGTACCAGTTCTTGATTTTAGGCTACTTAGTTTTTTTAAATGTTATTATAACTTTGTTATCACAAGAGATGGATATTTTTTTATATACCCTTAATTTTTAGCAAGCCATGCTAGAAATCTTTTCTATACAATAAAATCTTAAGTGTATATTTTAATAATTTTGGTAAAAATGTTCTTATTTTTTAATATTTATACAATTTTCTTTTAATAACTATATTATATTATTAGATATTCAAATGTTTTAAGTATTTCTATTTTTTTAAAGGTTAAGTAAATTATATATATGTAATGTATTATATTATATTATGATTAAGCGTGAAAAGATTTTATATCAAATTATAGATATTTAAAATAATTGTTAAATTATCAAATAATTATCTGCTAATTATTTTGATATTTTATAAAATAACATTTTAATTTTTGGTTAATTTTCAAATTAAATAAACATAACTATAAGTTATAATATTATTCTATTAGTTTTGGGATAATAGTGTAATAATGTAATAATGTAATTGTTTTAAGATTAAAATTTTAGCAATAACTTAAAACATAAGATTAAAATATTAATTTACAGTTAAAGTTAAACATACTTGCTTGTCTTCAATATTCTTTGGGAGAAAGAATGCAATATTGTTAGTTATCTGACAAGTTAATTCATAAAGGTATTTACCACCTCCATAACTTGGCATTATATCATCAATATTGAAAGTTTTTTTTCTGGAATATGAGGGGCCACCCCATGGTGGTGATAAAAATACAACATCTGCTTTTAAAGTAGGAACCAAAGCATAATAATCTCCAATAATAAATTCTATGCGATCTGATACACCATAAACCTCAGCATTATTCCTCGCAAGTTCTATTTTCTTCGGATCAATATCTATCGCAATAACTTAAGAATTCAATTATTTTAACTGAATTTTCATAAAAGCTTTAAATTTCAAAATTATAACTATAAATGGATGAATTAATTTCAAAAATTTAATTAAATCTATCTACCTTTTTTACAAGTTAATGCAAATTGAATAGTATTGCTACCAGCACCACAAAATCCATCAATTATCAGGTCACATGTACATCGTTTAGCAATCATGCGACTTATTACTTCTGGTGTCACTGAATACCAACTTTCTAAAAAATAATAATAGCCTTGTATATAGCTTAACATAAAATTAAAACAAAAATTAGCATAATACCTAGAGTAAGATTAATTTATGGTATAATAGTATAATTAATGAATTAGTTTATTATTATAAAATAATAATTATTATTTAATATTGTAAATTATGTTATGAGTAAATGTAAAAATTTAATTTTTACATTTACAAAAAGCTGTAAATTATATGGAAAATCATTTGAACACTAAAGTAAATTACATTTCCTTACTTTAAAGTTAAAGTACCTACTTTTAAAACTTTTAACTTATTTTACTATCATAATTTACACTTTCTTATAACTAATTTTTACTCAATATAACAAATTTACAACATAGCAACAAAAATAATAATAGTATAATAATGAATTGTAATCTTTTGCTTACCCTTGTCTAATTTAATTCCTTGGTCAAATTTTTTAAATAACCTATACCTAGAATGCCAATATTTTAACAATGAAGTGTCTTCCTGTATTTCGCTGGGTAATGTTTTTAAAATTTTTGAATGCTTATATTTTTTCAATTCTCTCCTTCGTTTGTTTTTATTTTTAAGAATTCCATCACTACCCATAATAATTTAAAATACGTTATTCAGCCTTGGAATTTGGATTTTAGAATAGAATTAAGAATATTAGAAATTAGAATAGATAATAATATTACTTTTAGTTTAATCTTTAATCTAATCTGATTTCTGATACCATTGATTGTATAGTAAAATAAATATATATCATTTCCATGATTTTTGAAAAAATACCTCAAGACCCTAGTATAAGGTCTTTGCTCAAGACCAATATTAGGGCATATAATTAATGATAAATGATAATACATACCTTATTGATAATAATAATTGATAATAACTTCAAATAATAAACAGTAAATAATAGAATATATTATTTATTTATTATTTTATCATTTTTATCCACAATATCGATCACTACAACTCTCCTCAAGTCTGAACCTAACTACCTCAAGCACAACAACTGAAAAGTGCTAATATTTTGAATTTTATATTTGTTGTTTATCGTATTGATATACAAGTGAAAATTGTCATGAAGCCTGGAATAGTTGCCGATGAAATGTTCCCTGAAGGGACTAGTGCCATAATGGACTTGGATGATGAGGTAATTTAAATAAATGATATATATATTTATATATAAATATCATTAAATTAGTAAATGTGTTGTTCATAGACCGGAAGCAATGTTATATTTGAAATGAATGACAAAAATCTACAAGCTGACTTTTATAATGGTATGTTTTAAAAATAAACTAATGATGGTTTCATTTTTTCTTATTTTAGTTGTTAGTTTATTATTTAAATGTAAAAGCATGTGTTGTCACACAGGAAAAAAATTAAAAAAGTTTAGTTAATTTTAATTTTGTGTTATCAATGAATATAGGTATTAAGATCGTAAAAATATGAGTTAATTGTTAATGTGTCTAGTGTTTAGCATAATATAACTTAAAATTTAAATAATTATACTCTAGGGTTTAATTAAGTCCGTGTAGTTTGAATTTTTATAATGCTTCTGAAAATTATGAAAACATCACTCATTACTGGTAGATTGCGTGCTATGCCGATCTGTCCATCATATATTTTTTAACAGTTAATAATAACAATTATTAATCCTATAAAAATATCATATAATGATATTTTTTGATGCATATCCTTATAACCAGAGTTAGGATTTTATAGCACTTAAAATTGTATAAATATACACTATAATATTACCTTAAATATCGCTAAATATGCAAAAGAAGGAAATCATTCAATAGAAATCGATAAAAATCCAAAAAAATCAGCAGATAACCAAAATTAAAACCAAATACCTAATACGAAATTATCGTAATATTATATTAAACCTATATATTATCGTAATTGTACGGTGTTACATCAGTGTTATCTCGGTCTATTTACTTAATCTATAATTTATAATTTACTTGATAATTCGATTGACAAAAATCTAAAAACACGTTTTGCTAAAATATAACATAATAAAATATGAACAATTTTGATTCAAAAACAAGTAAAAATACAATAAAAGCATTAAAAACTAAAAATCGCAAAATATCAAAATTGCTTATTCTGCTATTTTTTAAACATTTCTTAAGGAATATTTAAATGCTATAAAATTCCAACTTTGTTTATAACCATATTACATAATATTATAGTACTATAGCAGTCCTTATTTAAACCTTTACTGTTTTGATGTGGTTATTGTTTAAAAATGCCAATTACAAAGTATCAAAATTGAATTGGCAATAAAACATTACAATTTATTCAATCATAACAAATATTGAAATATACTTCATTTTAAATGTATAGGTACATAATGTTTAGATCAAGGAAGTATTAGCTACTTTTTTAATAATTGTTTTCTACAGTAATTGTATTAAGTAATTTACTTACCATATTATTCTTTATTTTTATTTGTCTACTACATAAAATCAAGCAGATCAACTTTTTACTACATATAATATTTTAAAGTTAATCTAAAAAAAAATTTGATTAGGGTAAACAAAAAAATTGTTAGATACATATTACATATTAACTTTTAAATCTTTTGGAACTTTTCCACTGCTTGTAACTAGTAGGAGCAAGGGATTATATTTTTTCTAATTAATAAAGAGGTATTAATTTATCATATTATCTTATATGATGAATATATTTGAGAAAAAGCCAATTATGTATTCTTTTCAGCAAAAAAAAAAAAAAAAAATCAAATTTGCAATAAAAGAAAAATTTTAACATTCTTAAATTATCTTTGTTTCATAAATTATTTATGTTAATAAATAACATACTAGGGGTAAAAATGAAAAAATCACTCATTTAAAAAAAACTTGATTTAGTGCATTTTATTTCTATAATTATTTATTACTCTATTCTCTAATACTTACACCTATTCTGTTGTTTTGCTTATTAATATACTATTTGTGTTTTTCAGATTTTAATGATCTTAATGATGATGATGATTTTTAACACACAAACATCAAGCTATGAAAAAACAATCCACAAATAACTACTTGATTCATACTAACAAATAATGTTAGTAAGAATGTGAAAAAGTTTAAAAAAAATATTGTATTATGTCAAATAATTATTTGTAATATACCTATTTTAGTATTAAAAATATTAAGTCATTTATAGTTATATTTAATTTTTTATCACAAATTGCTTTATATTTTTATTTAACATAATTGTTTCAAAAATGCAATTATATAATATTTTAATAATGAATGATTCTAAATACTATTTATTTGTTTTTTAATTTTTATTAAGGAAATAAATATTTAAAGTCTGTATACATTTAATATAATAGTAATAAAATGGCACCAAATAAAATTGGAACAGATTGTTAAAATAATTTGATTGACCCACCCACACCTCTTCTAATTTATCACTCTTCCGAACATTCATTTTTAAATAAAGTTATAAATAAATATACCATTTTAAATATAAATGATTGATGAAATTCTTGTGTTAAATAAAATTATAACAGAAAGAATTAACACTTCAAAGTACTCTATAAAATGAAAGAGGTTAGGTAAAATAGAGTAAAATAACACATCTATCCACAAACCTAATTTCACCTAATTTTAAAGCAGTTGAATTGATCTATCTAAACTATGTGTTCAGCACCATTCAAATAATACATATTAAATAAAATACATTGACTGTAGATGTATATCTTAAGAGAAGAAGGTAATTCATTCACACTACTACGATTATTTCTTATTTTTAGAAATAATTAATTTGTCCAAGTAAAATGAATTTAATCACTAAGAAAAGCTTGGGGCCATTTCACACAGTTCTGAGTATTGAATAGTGAAACCATTTAAATAAAATCATCAAAAACATATTATAAACTAGAAAGTACTTAAAAGTATATTTCTTTAATTATTTAACTAGATTAATAATATTTATGAATAAAACATAGTAAGTTATAATGTTTTAGTGTAATATGCATTTGTTGGAAATAATATGTAGTAAACTATCACGAAAGATAAATGTATGTATCATCTCTAGGCTTAATGTTACTTGTTACCTAATTTTCATGAGGGCTATTTTCAGTACTTCTTTTACAAAAATAAATAATTTAACTTAGAAGTATAAGCAATTTAAAATTTAAATATTCCCAACAAATTTGGGAAGAATAACATTTGAGAAAGGTATTGGCATGAAGTATATAGAATAAACAGGGATTTCTAATATCAAACAGCTAAGGATTTGAGATTTTAAAAGTAACTGATATTTATATTATTATTATAAGGTCTTTCAATATTAAATTAAAACTAAAAATGAAAAAATTTGTTTTGGACAGCTTTTATGGGGTTGGAATTGTTGGAAATAGTCCCAGATAATAATTGCTACACACTAAAGATGAGAATTTTACATATCTTGTGTAGTTTTCCTCAGACTTACAGTAATTACAGAGACTGGGTAGTCACACACGGTCTGGTGGGCCTTTCAGTTAAGTCTTCATAGACCACCAGAGACCGACTGACCGTTGTGTCTATGGATTCCAGTTACCAGAACAATTACAACTGTACAGGCTGCCAGAAAAAATATGAAAACCTCTGTCCATCCAGCTGGACAGTCTCCGGCAGCCTGTGTAAGCAAAACCAACAAACAGACAAGACCGTAAGTGGCTGCCTTAAAACCTCTTCTAGTGCAGTTTTACTTAAAACAAAAAATGCAATGTGTTATATTGTAATAAAATTTTATTTAGTTTCAATAAGTATAGAGTAATTTATTACTTTACTTGGTGATTAACACCATAATATAATAGAAATAATTTTTTATAATAAACCTACCTTTATAGCTCATAATTTATAACATTTTATAACATAATTTATAAAATGAGACAACATTTTTAAGTAAAAAAACATGATACTAGTTGAATTTGCATACTTTATTAATAGAATAAAAAATGTAGTAATAAAAATAAAAAAACTGTTTAATCTTTTGAATTACATAAATAAAAAAAGAAAATTTTAAGAACATAATAACTTATGCTTTTTACCTTAGCATAATAAAAATATAATATGCATCAGTCTTTAATTGTGACAAAAAAAAATAAATTAACATAATTGATGATTAATCCCAATATGGTTCATCAATTTCAAAATTATTAACATCATAGTTTTGGATGATATTCTTATTTCTAGCTTGTTGAGCTTGAATTATGTACGGCTGCATTTCTTCAGCTTGAAATGAACTTGGCTTATGAGGGCATATTTGTAAATGATTGGCCATCTCATGTTTTTCTAAATAATAATAATGGCCATAAGGACATTGTATTTTATCTGGAAACATCTTTTTGCATTTTAAAATATGATATGGCAACTTGTGACGCCGAAGTTTGTGGTTTGGATCTAATGGACATTGCACCATGTCCAAATAGTAAATACCAAAATCAATAATCTCCTTATTGGATAGACCATTACTTATTTTTTCTTCTGAAGACATTTCTAGTAAAGTTACCTGTAAGTAACATAAAAATAAAATTATTATGTAAAAACAATAGTAAACTCTTGTTTTAAATGTTAAAAATTATTTTATAGGTATTGCATAAAATATTGAGTTCAAACATGATTAATTAGATGAGTTACACTTACACAAAATTATTTATTATTAAATATTATATTAAATAATACACACTTTACTTCTAATTCTTTGAATTCCACTGTATTTAAAAATATGTAAAATAAAAAAGTGCTATTTTATTCAGGGTCTTATGAAACGTATTTATTTTTAATCAGAATAAAGATAACCGTGTTTGATAAAATTATGTACTCACTAAAAATCCACACAGTAATCTATATACAAAATTCAATAAAAAAAAAAAAAAACCTGAAGAGAATTAATGAATATTTTTGAAAACCTAATTATAATTTAAATCGTGTATTATTTATTGTATTGATTTGGTATCAACTAAAATACTAAAGGTTTATTATTTATCATGTTACTTTTAACGATGATTCAATACAGATCTGAACACCGTGCAATATCCAAAATTAATCTAAATTTGAATATTATATTATAAATTATAAACAAAATTTAGTATTTTAGTGACATAACTTCCAACTGGAGTCTGGAATTAAAAATTAGTCATTGAACAAAACAAATACAAGAGTACAAACTACAATTATTATAGTAAATTACTAAATTAGTAATTAATAATTATACATACCGATTACCGATACTCGCTAATCGCTATAGATAAATAATATCAAATATCAAGTATTCAAGTGTTTGGTGTTTACTCAGGTTATTGTTTACTACTTATCACTTAAGTATAAGGTAGATGTCTGTGGTAAAATCAGTTATGGTAATATCACAGAATAGAGGTATTATCTATAATCGTTAAATAGTTTAAGTTAAATATTACTTAAGGCCACACTGTCAGACAGAGTTTTTATTATTTGTAAAAACAAAAAATTACAAAATATTAAATAAACAAGTCCGTGGCTTACAGGTTTGTTAAGTTTGCTAAGTTTGCTAAGTTATTACTTATATTATTATAGTAAACTCATTAATCATTACTGCCCATACTATATAGTTAGTGGTTACTGATTTGTACTTTCTAGTTTCTACCATATTATTAATATTTAATAGATATTTTTATTAACGATGTTGTTCATATCATGTAAGTTTATTTAATTAATGATTATTGATTATACTCGAAGGTTTCTACTTTGTAAAACAATAATTTTTCACTTGCAAATTGTCAAACTTAAAATTTTTTATTAAAGCGTTTATACTTTATTCTTGAAGCTTTTGTTTTTCCTAACGATTTATTAAGTCCACGTAGATAACAAAAATAATTGCTTTCATGTTATATTCGTCTCATTTGATCAAGTCAATTCATAACGACTAACGTATTATTTAAACATAATTTTCAAATTTTTGTTAATGCCGTTACATGTCACTAAAAAGTAAAGGCCACATTATTTGTTTTTGTATAGGTAGGTAAGAACTCAGAAAGGTACCTATGTAGTATATTTCTATACTATAACTCCGGAAGTCCGGAAAGTAATTTTTGATTAAGTATCCTAGCACCAAAATTTACTTGCTCACTCTCAAATTTACCTTGAGTTTATCCTAACTATCCTGCTAGCATGTCAGTCCGTCGGTACCCTATTAGCTTTAATATTCAGTACCTATTTTACCGGGCATGGCCGGTTTCCGCCAAATCATCAGTCGGTCGATTCCCTTTTCTATCAAATGAAAAGTTTCAAAAAATTTGTAAAATTGAAATTATTTTTCTGTTGTAAAAAATCTATTAAGTACCGTAATTTCGACCAATGATTTATTTATCGCCGATAATCTAGATTAATTTTCCAACACAATCGATTATGTTGCTAATCTTGTTTATTGTATTAGTTGTAAGTACAATATGTACGAAACCAATACCGTTAATGTTACGACGCAGCCTATTCGTTTTCTAACTGTTGTCGATAAAGTATACGTCTAATAGTAAGTGTATAACTTTTGAACCGATTCGCATTGTCAAATATTTAGTATAATATTTGTAAAATAACATGTTAGTGTGAATTTTGTTTAAATATTTTTTTCTTATTTTAAATTTCATTATTGATTAGTAGTGATCCATCTATAAAATATACGGCGTAACGGTAACATAATGATTGAATTCATCGATAGTAAATGTGGAAATTGGAAAACCATTATTAGTTTTAAATAATTATAAATTTTGTATTGGATCAGTTAACGTATCCACTGGCTTAACTCGATGGCGATGTAGTATAACAAAATACTGCAAAGCAAAAGTGTACATTGAAGATAATGCTGTAGTACATGATCATTGTGAAAATATAAATCATAACCATGAGCCTTATGTTCGGACGGTAATATCTAGGCAAATTATTCATATTGCCTGTAAATGAAAAGCAGTCGATGATATTAGTCATAAACTAAAAAAAAAATATATTAAAAGATATTGGAGGAAATATAGAAATATATAGACACTATATACTTACCTTTAATATTTTGTTTACTTCCCACTAAAACTATTGAAATATATGCACATGTATTTCGGTCAATTGTTGACAAATTTTCTACACTAGGTGTGCAATTATCACAGTATATTACAAAAGATTTCGAAAAATCTATAGTAAATGCCATACATGAAATTTGGCCACATACACAAATCATTGATTGTAGGTTTCACCCCGCCCAAGTGTGGTATCGCCAAATTCCAAAATAAGGGTTATCCACTGCCTTCTAGAACCAATTTTTAGAACGGGGGAAATGGTTGCGTCATACTTTTGGCTTACGTTTCTTAGACTCATGTGAAGTTTTTGAATATTTTATTGACAACTTTATGACTAATCGTCCTACAGATGATCAAACTTGTAAATATTCAGACTACTTAGTAGACAATTATTTAACTGAAAATTGCGATTATCCTCCATAACTTAGGGCATCAGTAAATTAAAGTTTAAGATGAACGATTAAAAATTGTGAGTCATTCCATTCGAATTTTTATAAATGTTTTTATAAAAAATCACCATCTATTAACATTTTGTTAAAGTTTTAATTAATGAAGTACAAACCTTCCTACGTTAAACTAAGAAGCACCCATCTACCAAACGTGGTACAAGATCGTCGAGTTCGAGACAGACAAAATCTAAATGAATAATTTATAACTTAATATAAAAATGGATAAATTGACAGGTAATGCGACTATTTTAATTTAATGTTAATCTTTATATTTATTTTTTTCTTAAATTTTCAAATATGACTTCGTAAAAGAAATATCATTAAACTATAGTAAGATAACAATAACAAAATAACAAAAAATAAAAAAGTAAAGTAAATTGTAATATTAGATGTAATTGACAAAATTAAATTTTAATATTTAATAAAAATATGTAATATAAATATTATATGTAATTTTTTTATTTTATTTTTTCATTTAGTGGAAAAGTAAATCGGCGGAAAAGGGAAAGTACACTTTTGACGGAAATGGGTAATTTCCATTTTACCACCTTTTGCTCAATTTACTATTTTAAATTAGTGCGATGATTATTCGATGTCTCGCACTCGTAATGTGTGCATCTAATTTATTCGATAATTACTATTTTATTAAAAATCAAATTAAATACTTAACCGTTTTTGTTGTGAAAAGTGTCAAAAAACAAGAAATTCAAGTACTTTTTTTAACAAAAAAAATCGCTACCCGTCTGGGGCCCTAAACCCCAAGTCAAGACTTTCTGTAAGTATTTTAATTATTCAAACCCATATAACGTATAACAAACCGTCTTCCCAGCCGTGTGTCTTCACTTACATAACAACACCTAATTAAAAATGAACTCCAAACCTATGACTATCCCCCCAATTAAAATTATCAACCAAAACACCATACAAAAGATAAAGAATAACAGCCAATTAAGCGAGTCTGACACGAACGATGTTTTCAATACGAATGAACTGAGGTCGTTTCTCCCAAATCTCACAAACGTTTAGATTCTGATAAACAAAGCCAGTTATCAAAAATAATTAAAACCACGACGAACACGCAATTTTCTTCTCATAATAAATTCAATGTCCTATCACAAAATGATGACACGGATATGGAAACTAATGAAACAAACGAAATCGTCTCTAAATTACCTCCACCAATATTTATTAAAACAAAAAATTCAAAATTATCAACAATGTTGCGAGAAAATAAAAAATATTATAGAACCGATCGACGATTTTACCTGCAAAAGCTCTACCGAATCAATTAAAATAAACACTACCTCTTCAAATGCATACAGAACCATAATTAAATATCTAAAAGATGCAAACGCTGAATTTTTTACATATCAATTAAAAAAAAACAAATCATACCGTATCGTCATTAGAAATTTACATCCTACCACTTCACCCGATTACATAAAAGAAGAACTCGAAAAAAAGGATTTCAAGCGAGAAACGTCACAAACGCTCTGCATAAAGTCTCAAAAATAAAACTACCCTTATTTTTTGTAGACCTAGAACCATCGCTTTACAATAAAAACATATTCGAGCTCCGAACTATATGCTACACCAAAGTCAAAATCGAAGCACCTCGTATCAATAAACTAACACCACAATGCTTAAATTGCCAAAACTACGGCCACACCAGAACTTACTGCAACAACTATCCGAGATGTGTCCGTTGTTGTGGTGAAAACCACAGAACTGACACATGCACCAAAAGTCGAGACCTCCCTGCCAAATGTGCGTTATGTAACGGAGATCACCCAGCAAATTATCGCGGATATTTTGTATTCAAAAACCTGCAAAAACTTCGAAAAAACAATTACCAAGCAAAAGCAACACTGACAAAACTGAAGAAAACACAAATCGCAATAACCCCACCTTATACAACCCATCTCTCAACATTACCTCACACCCAAAGAATTCAAATAACAGCCAAACCTACTCTCAGGCCACCCTAAAAAATAAAAATTCTACACACCCAAATAATGAACACTAAAACCAACAAAACGTAAACATGACTACCCAATTGACCTCCTTTTTAAGCGAATTCAAATCCCTCATTAACCCACTTATCTCACTTCTAACAACAGTCAGCGACAAATTATTAATGAAAAATGTCAACTAATAATAATCAAACTCCTCCTTTATCAATATTACTCTGGAACGCAAATGGATTAATCCACAATAAAAATGAACTACAACACTTACTCTACGACAAAAAAATAAATATTACCCTAATTACAAAAATACACCTAACACCAACGAAACATTTCAACATACCAGGCTATACAACACACCGAACAGATCACCCCGATGGTACTGCACACATTGGTACCGCGATCTTAATATCCATTACGCTATTACAGTATGCATTACCGACATATCAAAAGACCTGTATACAAGCTACAAATATCCAAATAGTACTTAACCATATCACCATTACAATATCATCAGTCTACTGCCCGCCTAGTCAAAAAATTACACCATATCGACTCCAAACATTCCTAAGAACACTTAAAAATTCATTTATTATTGGCGGTGACTTTAATGCAAAGCATACTGTATTTGGATGTAGATCAACTAACCCTAGAGGTCAAAATGTTTACAATACAATTTTAA